CTCTCTGCTTCCAATCACTTCCTTGCAACTTGTGATTTCACAATTCTATTAGCTTTCCAGTCATCCATAGAGTCTTCCAGAAAAAGAAACAAGTTTTTTTTTTAAAAAACAGATAACGATAAACCTTCCAGGTTTTCTATGTGCATCATAAACTTACCTTTGAAAGTTACTTTTTGGGGGGGTCCTGTACACCTCAAAGAGGTGAGCCTACATGTTACTCTCCAAGGCCCAGATCCTCAAAGGTAACTCTCACTGAAATCAATGGGAGCCAGGCACCTAAATACCTTTGAAGATCTGGGAGTAAATGCTTCACTTACAGACAGGTATTCTAAACCACTTAGGAGGTCATCTCATTTTCACTAAGGTGCCTTTACACCACTGTGGCAGGGTAAAGGAGCCTTAGGATAAGTGAGAATCTGGCCCTTATAATTTCCTAAAATAACCCACTGCTTTCTACATGCTCATTTTGTAAACTGAGCTCTAATTGATTAGTGCCACTGTCTGGTGTTGGAAAATCCCTCAGCGACTGATGGTTGTCAAGGTGAATTTCTCATGTTGCCATCAAGTACAAGGCGAGAGGAGCCCGCCAGGGTGGTAGAACCCACCTGCTGATTTGACAAAGAGCATTTGGTAGGTCGGCACCCAATCCCGTATGGTGTTGGTCGGCACTTTCAACTCACGTTGAGCTCCAGCGGACGTGAGCGCACTTCGGCCCAGATCCACAAAGATATTTAGGTTCCTAGCTTCCATTGAAATCAATGGGAGTTAGGAGCCTAAATACCTTAGTCCCTCTCCACATCAGGAGCACAATATGTAGATAACTTTAAGACGAGAGAGAAATCAGAACAATCATGTGTGTCCTCTGTTCTCCCCCAGGCTCACCACTATGGTAATTTGCCACCATCCTAGCATCAGAAAGTCACATTCCCATGTCCTGACACTGCAGTGATGGAGTGCGGCTATTTTAGCACATCCAGTTCCATACATTCCCTGGGAGATGCAGTCCAAATGGCCTGATTCACACTGGCTTTAAATCCCTTTGTTTGTATCCTGATGGTAACTGCACTAATAGCAACCATTGAGGCTGATGCACACTGCAGTACATGCCTGAGTGGTTGGGAAATGCACGGAGGCTCAGATCCAGATATTAAAGTTGTAAAAATAATGAATTCCCTAGTGGGGTCTCCGGTGATGACATAAGTCACTCAAACACTGCTCTGAGATGGCACGAGAAGTCCCCAATGTCTCCATGGTCTTATTTTCTTGAATTTCACTGCAGCCCGTTCATTACTTTCACTCTCATTTGGAAACTGCATATGGAGCCTTCCAATTGTCAACTGCCGGTTCAAATCCAGCCCAGGGCTGTAATGATTGAAATTAATGATCAGCTATTTGGAGGTAATTGTGAAGCGAGATTTTATTGACAGGATATTTTAAAATGGATTTCTGCTTTGTCGTGTCTGTGACTCTCACACACATGGCAGTATTCAGCCTCACAACACTAGGATGTAGGGAAGCATTACGATCACCCGGTACAGATGGGAAACTGAGACATAGAGAAGTTAAGTGACTTGCCCAGGGTCCCACAGGAAGCCTGTAGCAGAGCAAGGAATAGACCCCCCCAGACCTCATGAGGTCATACTTCCTCCAACTAGTGCTCAGTCTAGTTCAGGCTAGGAAGGCAGTGTGTCCTAAAGGACAGAGCACTGGCCTGGGACTCAGGAAAACTGGATTCTATTCCCAGCTCTCAGCCACTAACCTGCTAGGTAACCCTGGGTAAGTCACTTCTCCCTGTGCCTCAGTGTCCCACCTGTAAAATAGAGACAATGATACTGACCTCCTTTGTAAAGCACTTTGAGGTCTACTGAGAACAAGTGCTAAATAGGAGGCTGGTTTTTTGATTATTTGTTCCCAGTGATCATCACACAAATAGGACTCTCAGCAGAGACACCCCAGAGAGGACAGGCACTGAGGGTACATCTACACGGTCGCTGGAGGGATAATTTCCAGCTCAGGCAGAGGTACCTGCACTACCTTTGATTGAGCTAGCGCACTAAAAACAATAGGGTAGCCATGGGAGCTCACACTAGCTGCCCAAGGACAAGCCCTTCTGTGATTTTAGCTATGTGCATTTGAGGGGGAGGGTCTGTATCTCAGAAGTCCCGTGACCAAGTGACTCCAGATTTGTTCCACTAACTCTCCTCCTGCCCCTGATGTGGCCCAGCAGTTTCTAAGGCACATAACTCTGGCATGTGCATGTTAGAACACACTGAAATAGCACCTATTAAACATAAAGCTTGTCTCCTCCTTAACCACACTGGAGCTAGCACTCCTCCAGAATTCGAGCTTATCCGCCCTCAGGTGTTGTACTGCTTTATTGGTTTAGAAATCAATTTAGAATGAGCAGTACAATCCCCTAGCGTGGACCAAGTTATTTTGGTATAAAGGTGCTTCGAGCGGTATGGCTCATTCCCATACTGTTACACCATTTTCTATTACAGCAGCCCAGAAACACACAGGAGACAGAGCGGAGATTTCTCAAAGCAAAGTCTTAAAATACCCGCAACCCTTCCTCTTACGATCCAAACTGTGAGCCAAATTGGTTAGCCAGCCCACAAGCCCAGTACCAGCCCACTAACTCCGGTGGGAAATGCTGCACCACTCCCTGAGGTTTGAAATGCCGGACATGTCTGATTGAGACCGTTCAATCCGAAAGAGAGAGAAGATGATCCCGGAAATGCAAGAAGCATCTTTCTAGCAGCACAAACAGCAGCTGGGGATGGGAGCAGCAGCAACTGGGATGGCTTCACCACGGGTCAGCAAGTCGGCAGCGCACTTGGTCATTGGGGGAAAATCACAACTAGTGGTAGAGATGGAGCCAGCCAAAACAAATAAACCTTAGAAGAATTTAATAAAGGAAGATCAAGGCAGGCGCCACTCCCGTGACCCTGAAGCACTGAGTTGCTTTTCATTTGCCCACTCACGCACCTCTAAGCCCTGGTGCCACTGTGAGGTTCCTCCACCTTGTTGTGGGCTCTGCCACATAAAGCAGACAACACCCTGCGACAAACAACAAAGGAGAAACTATCCAGACCCAGGATCAGCTGCTCCTGCTGAGAGAAGAACTAGCCACAAAAATTCTTCAGCCAAGGACACAGCCCTAAAGCTGCAAGCTAATGAGAGTAGCACTGGGGAAAGGTGCTAGATTGGCAGCTCTGGGGGCTGAAGGCCTTTTGCCATTCACAGAACCGGTATGTCAGGGCAATAGCAGGGCAAGTTTCCCAGCTGATGTGCCTCAAAACAGATCTCAGGATGCAGGAGAGGGCAGTGTCCATGGCCCATTCAGTCCTTGCCCTCTGCCGAGACTGTAAACAAGAGGACCACAAGTGGACGGAAACTGTCTCATTATGAGGCCAAACAGCCCATGGTAATGTCTGGTGAGTCTTTCACCTGCCACTTTAAATGCTCTGAGTTTTGCTGCTTTGTAAAGGGCAGCCATAGGTTACCAGAACCCAGAACAGAGCATCAAAAGCTGCCTGCTAAGTGACATCACTGGGACACAAACTTCTCGCCAGTGAAGTTCCTTGAGCGAGGGGAATCAAAGGCTAATGTGCAGCTGGTAATAATTTGAGCTCTGGAGGAAAGAAACGAGAGTTTCCATGTGTGCTTCCCCTCTCTCCATGGGGCTTAAAGTCCCAGGAAGAGTAGACATGACCGATTTTTAAGGTTGCCCCCTTTCTTCTACCATCCAGCTCTGGCCATTGGATAGCAGACTAGTGGGCAACTGGTTGCCTGTTATGTAGCAATCCTTCTATTCCAAGGCCCATTTTAAACCCTGCAACCCCATCGGCTTAGGTGGGGGATACACCGGGCAATATTAGGCCTGTTTGCATGCTACTATTCCATTCAGCCCCTCCACAGTGTGGTTAGACCGCAGCTCCCATTGCAAAACTGCAATAACCCCCCTTCTCGAGCTGAGTGCTGCCCTGTCGGTGAAATGAAAGAGCCAGGACCTTTGTCTTTCTCGAGGGGAGTGGAGGATGGCTCTGCAGCGGGATAGGAACTGGGGAGAGTCTCACACCCAGTCTTCTAGGAAAACAGGGATGCCGAAGAATTAAACAATGAAAAAGGGGAATCTATTCACAGCTAAGTGGGCTAACCCTGCCCAAGCAAGAGGGGGCTTATCTTCCATCGAGAGCATTCTTCTCCCAGGAGGTTGGCTCAGCGCCTGCTCTATCAGTTTGTCAAGGATCTCCAAGGATTAGCAATTCAAACCTATTGAGTGGTAACAGCAGGCAGAGGGGATGGGGTAGGGCCAGCGCATGGATGGGACCTCAACTGCACTGAAGCCTGGGACACAATCAAGTTTTGAGCTCCAGTCCAGAACAGGGAAAAGGGCCCATTTACACTCATTTTAACCTGGCTATAACGAACTCCCCAAATTCAGGTGTGACCGTCATGAGGACAGACTGCGAGCTGCTGGGCTGGGGGGAGGAGAGGACGCATGCCTGAAGATCCCCAGAGCACCAGCCTGAAGCACAAGCCATGTAAGAGACCATACCCGTGCTGACTGAGCACCAGATGGGCCCGCTGCAGGGCCACAGAAGACAGCATCTCACTGCTGATGTAGCATCAGAAGTTGGAGCCCTGCACATGGTAAGCTCGACCCTCTGCCCACAGCTCGGTTCTGAAGAGGAAGCCAGAGCCTCCCTGTTGGAGGCAGGACAATGCTTGGGCCATTCTTCAGTTCTGCCAAGAACCCCATTTTCTCCCATGGCAGATGGCATTTGAATGACCTTGGGTCAGGACGCCTGAGGTGGGGCGAAATCACAGACTTGCAGCTAAAACACAGACGGCAGCCCTGAGACCTGCAGGGTAGGGAGAAGGCAGGGTGAGCTGGGCCCGGGGAATACACACCCCTCTCCTGCTGACAGCTAGAGGAAGAAAAGGAGACAGAACAATGGAAGAACTGGCACGTGGAGACATACACAGAAAGGAGTTTATTTTCCCCACCACTGGAATTATGAAACCACAGCAGCAGAGTTCAATATTTACAAAATAGCCCAACACCCCTCGGAGATAATGAGAACAAACACCAAGGACAGGGGCCCCGATAAAGAACAGAGGCAAATCCAAGAAGCTCTGCAGCAGAGCTGCTTGAGACAAGCAGCGGAGAGGGTGGGGGGAAGGGCTACACCCTAGTGGGAGAGTGTTTTTAATAGGGGTACACAGAACAATGGCACCACCTTACCACTAGGTGTTCAATTGAACACAGCTACTCTAAAAGGGGCAACGTGCACTTTAGGCAACGTGAGGAAAGCCGCACGCAGCCGTCACTCGCTGCCCACAAGCCCAGTTCAGCCTTGTCTACACCAAGGGAAAACATCAGATGTGCAGCTCCCACGAGGGGCAGCTCCTGGTTAGGCAAGATGATCATAAAAAACCACCTGCCCCCCATCCCCGCTATAGCTTCCATTGGCACTGCCGCTTCTGGAGCTTGGTGGGTCTGAATCTTACCAGTAAAGAGACAGGCCCTGGTTTTCTGCTTATGTCTCTTTGCACAGCTCTGTTGCTCCCAGTTTCCTTTGGCCAGCACTTCTGAGTGGGACAGCTTTGCACACTCAAGGGCAGGATATTTCTGCTGGCTGAAGTGTACCTAAGCTTTGGGATTCCTCCTAGACTCTTAGCCACCTTAGGCTGCCTTGAACAGCTGTCCATGACCCCTGCACACTCCTTCAGTATCTGTGAAAACAGGGTCAAGGCCTGAGTGGGAGCTGGTCACTCTGCTGGGACTTGTACAAAGCACTGACCCCAGCTCTGTCACTGCCGCATCACTCGAAGTGCTCACGCATTCATTCCCAGCCTGATGCCTGAATCAGTCAAAGGACTTGACTGGTGCATTGGACAATCCTCACTTCAGATCCTACAATCCTCTAGTTTGGAGCTATTAATGTGTTTCTAATGCTCCTGACAGGGAGGAGATTCTGGGTGTGCGCGCGCATGGTGGGGGTAGCAAACATGCTTTCTCAATACACAGGGGCCAATAGACTTGCTCCTGCTTCAGCCACTGACAGTGTTAAAGCTTCAACTTTGGCAACACTTGTATACTTAAGACATCAGGGTCTCCTACAAGCCGACCCAATGCGCATCAGGACTATTGCTACTGCACAAAGCAGGTTGGCTTCTAGCTCTGGGCACAGAGATTTCTAGGTCTTCCCTGATGCCATTCTTGGCAGGTCACTTCAAACAGTAACACAGGAAAGCAGTGTAGGAATCCTTCCTGTTCAATTGGCTAGGCTTGTTACCTCGGTAGTAACTTCGCCAGGTAATAACCGAAGCAGCACAAGGTAACGTGATAAGACACCACACACTCACTGTAAGGTTCACTTTGATGTGAGACCTTTCATATCTAATCAGCCTAGAGTTTATTTAGCAGCAGCCTGCTCTCCACTCATGCTTGAAATAACTGAATGCTGGAGAGACACTGAAGAGGATTTCAGTTCCAGGTGTAAGGGAAAGACAAGGCAGTGTCTACACAGCCTCCTTCCTAGGCTAGAAAGGAAAGGGCTCGGTGATAAAGAGAATTAGATGCCAGCAAGGAGAGATGGAGCTGCACACGAGAAGCCCCTTTCCTCCCCCTGAGCTGGAGGAGAGCGCACGGAGAGCTCTGAAAGCCACAAGTGTGGTTTGGAATCGTCTTTCAAGAGGCATAGGAACCAGTGAAAGTGGCATGCAGCTAAGCAAGGGATTTAGAGAGCAACTGATGACAGTTACTTGAGGCTGGAATTCATTGGCTGCGGCACAGAATTGTTCTTTTAAAAGCATCCGAGTTGAAAAATGAATCCCTGCTCTGTGATTGAGGCGGTGTGCTTGCCCCAGGTCACAGCAGACAAATGGCCACCTTATAGAAGCCAGCCACCACAATGGGCACCCTGGGTGGCACCCTTAGCAGAGAGGCTAAGGAATGAACAAACGGATTTTCCCAGGAAGTGCCTCCAGCTCAGGACTGAGGCACATTTATTGGCCAACGTCTATGAGGAGCTTGCCCAGCCCACATCTGTGCTGTCTCTACTCTGGCGAGTGAGCAGATTCTAGGGCTATCAAGTTGGCATCTTCACCAATAATCATTTTTTAGCTTTCATAAGGGGCCCCAGGAGGCACAGTCTAGTGCTTCCATGGCAATGTAACGCAGCACCCCCATCTTTTCAAAGTGTAATAATGAATCCGCTTTGGAAGCGAATAGATCATGTTCATTAACCTGAGACCAGCTGTAGGAAAACTCTCACCACCCGGCACTATGGGACAGATGCTACTTTCATAGACCCAGGCCTAAGGGAAGCGGTTAACTGCACTTGAGGAAAATTGTGTCTTCAAACACTTCTTTTAATAAATATTTTATACTCACCAGGTGGCTTGGAATTCAAGTATTTCACTCCAGAGCAGAGCAAAGAGGTTTTAGAGACCCACAGCTAAACATACTGTCCCACCAGTATGCTGTTGCTGCTGTCAAATCACCAAGTCTATTGCAAGGGCGTGGCTAAGCTGTGGTACACAAGGGTTAGGGACTCCAGAAAAGGAAACTGCTGCAGGAAAGGAGTGGCAATTTTAGGAAGATGTGGCAAAGGCAGGAGCAAGGGAGCTACATTGTGCACGTCATGGATCAGATGTGCACATTCTGATCGCTGCAGTAATATGCTACTGAAAGTGCACAAACTGCTACGAGCCATTCCACAGCCTGACATCTAGGCACGGCTTTAGAGCAGTTCCCCTCATCCTGAGGCTGCTAGTTTAGAGCAGAGCTGTCCTGCCACAAGAGAATGCTCATGAATGTTATCAGAGGAATGCTTTGCCACCAGCACCTTTGTTGTTTCACTACCAGCTACAAGGGAGAATGTACACGAGCACACTGGCATTACATGTCGCAGTAGGTGAACATGGCCACTAATAGACTTGAATCTATGTGTGCTATAGGAGGAGATTTGTGCAATAAGGGGATCCCTCCTCTCCCCCTCAGAAATTCAGAACTTGCACCATATCTGGGCAGTGTAACAGTTAAGAAGCACATGATGAAGTTTACTGAGAGGAAATAAGTAGTAATGTAAAGGCAGCCCGGGATCACAGAAAACCTTACAATGAGTATTTGCTTGTGCTAAGGAGGCAGGTTTAGCCCTTGCAACATTACCCTGTGTTGAGATCATCGCTTACAGAGTACATTCCCAAAACCAACCAGCAGGGGGGGTGAGCAGCCGTCAGAGGCCCCAGGCCCCCAAACACTGGGAGACCCTAATGACAGAACAAAACAGAAAGACAGACACCAGTCCCAGGAAGCAAAAATGAGAGTCGTTACTATCGAGTGAAGATGCCATCTTCTCTTGGAGTGACTCCCAGGGTCCTGTGTCCCCAACCTGTTGGATCCAGCAACCACAGTTTCATCCCTTGTGCACCAAGGGAAAGGGAAGCACGGTATCCATCACCGTAAGTGAAGGGTCAGAATGACCGTCAGGATCACCCCCAAGAAAAGGACAAAGGGAAGCCAGGTCTTCATGAATCCCCCTATGCTACAAGAGAGAGAAAGAGGATTAAAAAGAGACCGGTTGACAGGGGATAATGAGGGTGTGTATGGGGGTAGGGAGGGAGAGAAATGTTGGGGATAATTGGAGAGTTGCAGGCTGGAAAGGGAGGAACTATCACCCTAACTGTTGATTCATATTTAGCCTGTCATCTACTATAACCCCGAGATCCCTTTGTGCAGCATTCTTTCCTAGGCAGTCCTTTCCCAGTTTGTATGTGTGCAACTGATTGTTCCTTCCTAAGTGGAGTACTTTGCATGTGTCCTTATTGAATTTCATCCTGTTTACTTCAGACCATTTCTCCAGTTTGTCCAGGTCATTTTGAATTTTAATCTGATCCTCCAAAGCATTTGCAACCCCTCCCAGCTTGGTATGGCCCACAAACTTCATAAGAGTACACTCTATGCTCTGATCTAAATCATTGAAGATAACGAACAGAACCGGACCCAGAACTGATCTCTGCGGGACCCCACTTGATATGCCCTTCCAGCTTGGTCTCTGCTGTCAGTTCAAATCCAGCCCAGCAGTTAGCTCTGGCTGGCTATTTGGTGGCTAATATGAAAGGGGACGGTGACATCAGATCAGTCCTAGGTCATAAATTCCCAAGTAAGAAAAATGCAATGAAATGTCATTACAGTTGGCAACCTGAGTAGAAAGGCCAAGGACTGAATAAGGCCCTAGAGCCCCCTCCGAACAGGGGTAAAACACACTGGCAGGACAGCACTGGGGAAGCTTGTACTCTACTGCCCTGCTCTATCTGTTCTGTGGCTAGAGAGGATCACATTCTCCAGGCCTGAAAAACTGGCACTAAAGTTTGTTTGTTTTTAAAGCCCACGTGAACACTATTATGGTGCTGAAAGAAATTTTGGTGGTAAAGGACTGGCAGAAAAATCCAAAGAGCAGTGGGTGGAAGTCCTAATAAAAAAAACGGGACTCATTTTATTACAACACAAAAGAGAGAGAAGAAAATCTGTGACTGGCTGACATAGGCCACTGCCAAGTATGGTCACAGTTATGAACATGACAAGCGGTGGCCAGACCCAGGGGTCAGGCAGCCAAAGACTTCATGGGGAGCTATAGACTAGGAGTTGCTTTAGATTGCACTTTTCATAGGCCAAGCCCCCAAAAGCACTTCACAAAGCAAAACATTAAACACTAGTGTCTCAGGAGATCACAAGCTCACACCCCGCACCTTGGCCTTTAACGGAGATATAGGGTTGCTCAGGACACTGGTGATCTCTCTTTCCTCTTGAGCTTTCACCAATCACGGGAATCTGCTCTTAACATCTTGGTAAAAAGGACAGCAAGCCTGCCAACTTAGCTCTGTGCTAGTGTCAGGATTCCTTATAAGCACTGAGCCCACAATCATCCAGCCAAGGGCAGGTATACTGCCAGCTGAGCCCTACCGTCCTCAATACACAATTGAAAGACATATGGGTGAAAGCTTAACCCCTTCTCTCTGGGGTAGCGAGAAACACTGAGGGATCAGAAACTTTGAGAAGCTAGCCCTCGTCTGCTGGACCTGGACTGATCTGCAGCTCACCTTACATACTTCCCATACAGGAGGGAGAGGAAGCAAAGTTTGACCATGTTCCAGGAGCTGCTGTTATCATATCTCATCAGGTTTAAGGCCAGAGCCACGTGGGAGTGGCAGTTGTCACAGCAAAGATTGTGCTATAATAGAAAGGGACATGAAGTTAGAATTTTTCTGTCTCCATTAGGTTCCTCTAGGTCCGGGGCAGGATTGTCCCATAAAATTAGCCAGATAAGTTCTCCGGGGCAGGGAGACAATCTAATAGAACTCACCAGGACCCCAACCCCACTGGTGCTTTTGGATGCTAGTTCAGAACCAACTGCTGAGAGGGTATATTCCCCAGGGCTTACTCCCCGTTTAGCAGTAAGTAAGCAGCAGGATTCTGATTCCATATTTCCTCTGAGATGGAGGACCAGTGCAAGAACATAAGCCTGTCACTAGGCAAGCGTGAAGATGCAGAGACATGAGGATAGAGCATGACACAGAAAACAGCCAAGAACTGGCATTGATCACATAGCTCTTATCAACTGCTTCATAAAAAGGGATCAGCCCATCAAGAAATTTCACTTCACAGATGGGAGAAGAGCAGGAAACATTACAAGATTTGTCCAAGCTCTAGAAGAGAAGCATTTTGTTAAGAAAAAATACAAGGCAAATCCTGTTCCACTGCACCTGGTTAAATCAAGACTAGCCTATATGCAGGCTGGGCTTCAAGTCTTACCATTCGATGCTTGTACTCCTCAGAGGCATCATGCACAGCCGTATCCCAAGCATTGGGACTGCTGGAGTACACTTTGGTTGGATCCAGTTTCCAGTATCTGACAAGGAAGACAACAGAACCCCTAGTTTAAACGCTAGACCTTCTGTTCTTTCAGTTTCCTTTCCTTCCCCATTAGGGGGCTATTTAAAGCAGGAGTCAGCAGACAAACCCGCAGTCATTGATTAATGAGGCTCAGTGAACTCATTGTTCTAGAGAAGTGCATGTGATAAGAGGGCATCAGGAGCCGATGCTTAACCCTCCCCGCCCCCTGCAACCTAAAGCATTTACACCCTGACTAGCAAGGGATTATTATACATGTGGAACAAATTAGGTTCTGAACTCCAGTTTTCATGTGGAATTTAAAACCCTAATTCCATCCACATGCTTATTTGAATAAAGTACAAAAATCAGGAGCTGATGTACAAATATTTTGATTTGCATCATGGCAAATAAAAACATCAAAACCACGATGTGAATTTGAACTGTTTCTCACTCAATTTTTTATATCATTTACTTTCAGCAACTGATTGCCACAAATTCTAATTTAATATAAAGTGTTAATTGCTGTAATAGTCATGTAAATATTGACTCTCATTATTTTAATACCATAACTTTGCAGTCATGCTTCTAATCAAGATTTAATGTAATGTTCTCTCTTGGGAGGCACAGATACACTAGCTGCCCCTTTGAATTAGGGCCTTTGATCTCGGAGAACGTTACCTATATTACTACATATTTATGCTGGTTTCAGTGAATTAAGGACATTTCCATGTGAATTTGTTAAAAGTTTAATAAAAAGAAACAGTGGCACTTACTTCACCGGCTTCCCAAACGCCATGTTGTCTTCCTACAGAAAGGGGAAAGATCTCTCAGAACACAGACCACACACCACACAAAATTCAATACATGCATCTTTCCTGTAAGGCCAGACTCTAGGCTTGTTTAGTGGTATGAGTTACCAGTAATTATCAAGTTCTTTTCTCAGTAGTCTCATTTTACCTAGACACATTTGTATGCACACAGGTTTAGATTCTCATTAATATTGATTCTACTGCTGTTGGAATGCAAGTTCGGTTCTATGTACATTGCTACATCTTCCATCTTTATGGCACATATACCTTATCGTTTCCTTCTTTATTCCTTTTATTTCAGAATTGTAACAGAGTTTTTTTATCTATTGATAAAAGCACATATACTGGTCTCCCAGTGTGAATTACACAGACAGACTAAATCCATCACATTAAGACTTAGCCTGACAGAGTGAGTACAACTTACGTGTTGGTAAGTGGGCATGACTTTCAGTCAGTCCAATGAAGTCATGTTATTGTAAAATGCATCTTCTCCTAGCCCCTGCAATCTCTAAGTTACACTAATATTGGACTCCTGATTTTGACCCAAAAATGGCAATATTCACCTGTGTTGTGGGACACATCAGACTAACCCTTGCCACTGGAATCTAATGCTTCTCTGGAAGTACAAGAGGTCAAAAGACACCCTTCCCTTATTGCTCAAGAAAACAAATTAACCCATCCTTGATCGCAGTAACCAGCTTATCTGCACTGGCCAGCCCTCAACACAAAGATGACTAAAATGGCTGGATCTGCCCTGGATCCAATACAGAGTTAGCCAGTGGAAAAAATGAAACACGCAGCAGTTCTCTGTTCTTCAGGGATTTATGCAGCAATTGTTTCAAGCTTTCATTTCACTTTGGAAATGCGAAACATCGAGAGAACCGTTCACAAGCATTTGAGGAAGGTGGGAACCAGGCCAACTTCAGGTTCCTCATTTATCACCCAGAATCATCATCTACTTACAGAGACGTAGTAAGGGCCCGCAAAGTCCCGAATGACTCCAGTCGACGTACAGATACCCATGTGGCCGATGATAGGGAAGAGCCATCTGCCAAGGTAACAAATGAAATGTCTGAGTCAAATGTCTCACCTTGATCACACACCCCGTCCGGAGACTGCTAGAATGGCTACACAATGAACGGTGTGGTACAAAATAGACAGAGCAAGCAAGTTAGATGTAGGTGCGTGGGGTTGGGGGAAGAGACATGACAATTAGTAAACCAGAGCTGAGCACAAATTGGTAGAGCTAGGTCACACAGATACACACAGGTAGGAGAATATGAAAGCAGATAATGTCCAAACCACACCTCCCCTGACAAGCAATTCCACAAATTTAGGCTTCTTTGCATTGGCACCAAGACTTTAAGCTTTTAATATGATTAATTGTAGTTATTACAAGGACAGGAGTCTCAGGCCTGATGCTGCTCTCAAAATACACCACTGTGCACGCCATCTGAGACCAGGACAGAATGAGCACTTCAATCTTTCTGAAGCAACCCCGTTTTGTTTTTCTGGGTATACGCACTGGCTCTAGAAGGAAGCTCCCTTGAAGACAAACTGAATCTCATAAGTTATCAATGAAAAATATTATTAGATCATCTAACCCATCTTTATACCAATACTTACAATAATACAAATACCACCTAGGAGCCCTAGTCACGGACCAGGTCCCCAGAATGCTCGTCACCGTACAAACACAGAACAAAAAGACGGTCCCACCAGGGCTGTTTTTCACTGAAAACTAGTTGTGTGTGCCCCAGACAATGGGCTTCCACCACTAGGAAGACTATTTCCTAGCCTAAATGGTCCTGTTGTTCCAAAGGTTTCTTGACATCAGTTTATATTTTTATCCAATTAACTTGTGCTATCCTAAAATCTTCTCCTCCCTCCTTGGTATTTACAGCCTTCAGGAACTAGCAGAGTTACATCCCCCACCCTAAGGCTGTGTCTACACTACAAGCGCTGCAGCTACGCCACTGTAGCGGAGACGCTTCCTACATCAACAGAAGGTGTAATTAATTCACCACTCTACAAGGCAGTAGATCTAGCTGCGTCTACGCTGGAGGTTAGGTTGACCTAACCACAGCATTCAGTGTGCAATTGTTTTCACAGTCCTCAGCGACTGTTGCTAGGTTGATCTAATTTTCAAGCCTGGACCAGGCCGTAGTTGTTGTTTGGCTTAGCCCAGCCTATAAATATTTAGTGCTAATCTCCCCACCCCCCTAATGACTTTTATTTACTTGTCACCATTTAAACTGTTTATTGTTTGCATTTCACTAACTTGGATAATGAAACAAATCAGGCACTTTCACTTTTACACAGGGGGAGTTTTATAGTCAGTTTCACTTTTTGATTGCCAGATACCGGCATGATGCTGTTCAGGACCGGCTCGTGTTTGGGGCGGCACATTTCCAAGGGCGGCATTCTGGCCATCCTTTTTTTCGGGGCAGTTGCGCTCTCGGAGCTGCGCCACTTAGACAGGGTGAGGGCGCCGCGCCCCCAGCTGCAGCAGGAAGGGGAAGCCCCAGCCCCGGGATGCTGAGCTGCCAGGGCCCAGCTGCTACGTGGGGACGAGAGGGCGAGTCCTGCCGGTGAGCTGGGGCTGCGCCGCCTCATCTGAGCACTGGCTGCTGCGCTGCCTTGTGCCAACCCTTATACCGGGGCTTCTCTGTGAGGCGGGGCGGGGGAGGGGGTAAAGCCCCCGCAGGCACTGGGAGAAGGTGACATCACTCCCTCTGCTTCCAGCGCCGCCTGCGAGCCCCAGCCCGCTGAGCTTGGGGCGGCAAAAAACCTAGAGCCGGCCCTGATGCTGATGAGTCTGAAGTTCTAAACCTTGGGTGCGTAAACTTTTTGGCCCGAGGGCCACATCAGGGGGCAAAACTGTATGGAGGGCCGGGTAAAGAAGGCTGTGCCCCCAAAACAGCCTGGCCCCCGCCCCCATCCGACCCTCCCACTTTCCACCCTCTGACTGCCCCCCCCAGAACTCCCCACCCATCCAACCCCTCCTGCTCCTTATCCCCTGTCCACCCCTTCCCAGGACCCCCGCCCCTAACCGCCCCCCAGGGACTCTATCCTCTATTCAACCCCCCCTGCTCCCTGTCCCCTGACTGCCCCGACCCCTATCCACACCCCCGCCCAATGACAGGTCCCCTGGGACTCCACTCCCTATCCAATTCCCCTGTTTCCCATCCCCCCCGAACCTTTGCCCCATCCAACCGCCCCCTGCTCCCTGTCCTGACTGCCCCCCAGGACTCCCTGCCCCATATCCAAACCCCCGGCCCCAGTCCCCTTACCATGCCGCTCAAAGCAGCATGTCTGTAGCTGCGCCTCCCGGCCAGAGCCAAACACGCTGCCTCCCTGCCCTGCATGAGTGCGCAGCCACGCCGCCCAGAGTGCTGCCCGCACAGCAGCATGGCTGCAGGGGAGGGGCCGGGGGCTAGCTGCCCGGCCAGGAGCTCAGGGGCTGGGCAGGATGGTCCCACGGGCCGGATGTGGCCAGTGGGCCGTAGTTTGCCCACCTCTGTTCTAAACATTGCAGAAGATATGTCTACATTAAAAAGATGACCTAGTTTTAAAACTCTAAATTCAGATATTGGGACTGAATGGCCCAGGGGACTGGGAAGAGAGAAGGAAAATTTGATAATTGTGCCAAACAACAAGAAATTTCACAGCATCACAACCATCTCATGACATTTCTGATGATTCTGCAGGAAGTTGTCAAGACTGACATGGGAGGGGAAATCCAGGGGAAAACAAAGATATCCAGTAGCCGTTAAAAGGAGCTCCTTAATCAACTAATTAAAGAGCTGAAAAGATTTTTTTTCCTCACTGATCTTTTTTAAACAGTACTTTGGGAAGAGACGAAGCCTGGAATGTTTAAGCAGGTGAAAACAGGAGTTATAATGAAAGCTGGTCTGCAACCTTAGAGCATTCATTAACATGGAAGCTGTAATATGGTTTTTCTTCTTCACCAAAGGTTGAAGGGTTATCATTCAGATTTCTGGTACACAGCATAAAATCTCTTTTCTCCCTTGTCTCAGCTCTGCTACAACTAGTCCCTAGCCTCTAAAAGAACTTGCAAACAAATCAAAATAATTTCATTACGGCTTTGGATGTTTTAGTCAGATTGCAGCAAAAGGCTATATTGCTTCCAAATGCCTCTTTCTAGTGTGCTGATTTTGTATGTACTTGTTCAGTCATCACCAGGGATGGCTGTGTTTGGGTTGTTTCCATCATTATAAAGGAATTATAAATATTTTCTCAAATCGTTTCAAACTATTTAATAAGTAAGTAAGCTAACTGTTTCAAACCATTAATAAATCCACATGCTGCTACACTAGGCATATCTAGAGCCAAGTGTAAAAATTCATGCAGCTGCTCAGAAACAGCCTTCTTATAGAAAAACCTGAGAAGTCACGGGTTTGCACCCGACAAACGTACATGTTATACGGTCTTAGTGAGGAGAAAAGCCACAGAGAAAGCAGTGATTGTGAGTCAGCTCCTGGCTGCCCTAGTGATCATCCATGCTCATTTTAGTGGGAAGCTTCTATTAGATTTGAAGCAAGGGCGGGGGAAAAACCTTCATGGTTCCTAATTGTACCCCCAGGATCCACCATTCCTACCCCCTGACCCAGAGCCAGGCTTCACAGCTACTATCTGTATTTAGGATAACTGGCCAGGACTCTCTGTCGACCTCATCAAGCTACTCCCTGTCAAGCAGGCTCTCCTGTGACCGTCCACACCCCGACTCCGGGGCTGTATGAACTGTTCAGTTATGGCGCTAGACACTGAACATTCAATCCCAGGTCTCCACCCAAGCAGCGCAGTGCACCGTGGCTTTTAGACGATCGCGCTGGAACCTCAGCGAAGATTTTTACTACAGGTTTCAGAGCGGTGGCCGTGTTAGTCTGGATCGAGGCGTCCTTGTGGCACCTTGGGGACTCACGGCTGATGAAGTGGGTTCTAGCCCAGGAAAGCTTGTGCTCAAATCAATGTGTTCGTCTCGCAGGTGCTACAAGGCCTCCTCGTTCAGCAGCATGGGAAGAGCTGCGCGAGGCCACGGGGTTTTAGTTGTGGTTGGCTGGTGCCACCCAAGGCAGGGATGTAAAGCGAGATCCTCACGCCGCTGTCACCCCCGCCCCCGAGCTCCTCCCCCGGCGGGAAGTGCCACTGGGCAGCGCAGCTCGTGTCCCTGCGGAATGGGCTGCAGCCCCCCGGGGATAAGGACCGCAGGAAGCCCGGGCTTTCCGGGGCTCGGGGCGGTGCCGGG